ACACATTTGAAAGATCTATGAACGAACAAATAATGCTGGGATACCTTCACGAAAACAACGGCCAACGTGGCCATAAGAACAGCCCAGCCAACGTAGAAGACGAATTCGAGAACATAGAAAAAAGGATTCTTTCCATAATAATTCAGCATCTCCGGCCATGCTGTCCAGGCGCTACAATCAGAGTCCTGGAAAAACATTAGTTTGTTTTCCAAAACTTCCACTGGAAAAAATGGGAAATAAAAAAACTGACCTTATACACAGTATCATTTGAAGACCAGCAGCAGTGTTCTCGATCTAACCAAAACCGATCCGCGCAAACACCATCCTAATATATTCATTTGACATCGGCAAAGCACACACGGATACAGAATAACGGCACTATCCGACTAATAGGACTCAAATACTCAAATTTTTTTGCTTGAAACTTTGCCCATAAGGGTAAGCCAACGCCTTAACCATGAATACTCCATTAGTTTTTGGCGCTGGCGCCATCCGGCGTTACCAGTTTTCCTCATATAATTCGGTGTAAACTGGCACACCGGGATTATTCAGTGTCCTGACGAATATACCATTCTTGTGGCACGAAGTCACTAATCACCGGCGTTGCAGGCGACGGCACCACGAGCTAGTTTTGAGCCCCTCGCGTGTGGCGCGGATTCGTGCCTAGTTCGTGGCACAGTTCGGCGACGGGGGAGGGGCATTTTGCACTTTTGCTACTTCCCATCGACGTGTCGACCCATCTAGACAGCCTCTTCTCGAGTTGACAGGTTTTACCATGATGGCTTGACGAGCTTGCTCCAGCTTCACAAGAGTTCACAGGTTTCACCAGAGTAAACCGGAACTAGTGAAGCAACGAACAAGCAAAATGCCCCCATCGCCGAACCGCGTCCTGTTTCGCGCCTAGCGATGTGCAAGGGCAGTTTGAAAAACATGGTCAGACGAGACAGTACCCTTTCCGGATACGTGCAATGACACCCCTCTCTGCCAAGCTCAGTATCAGCAGAGGAAGGGACCACTATCTCGAGGGAAAGGTGCAGGCGAGGGCAACAAGCTTCTCTGCCCTTTCCTCCATCCCTCAAATCCACTGG